TTTGCAAGAAAACAATTATATATACTGAAATGCCAATTGAATATACATTAGTTACAATGTACATACCTTCATATTCTGCTAGAACATCATTCCAATCCAGATTTTGAGATTGTGAGGAAACACTGTAGAGAGTCAAGCTGCCACTATTAATGGTGGCCTACACAAAGAAAGAACATCACTTTGATATACTGAATTCAACAATTTATGTGGTGAAAAAAGACCAAAAGGTGCACCAGCCTTTTACAAAATGAGCTTCAACCCACACAGGTAGAGTTTACACTAAGAAGATATCGTCCCCCTTAAGAATGATGATTAGTTGAGAAGGATCAAGCTGTTCTATTAGCTCAGCAACAGCATGTTCTTCTTCAGAAAATGAGTATCAAATCTTTTTAAGCTTCGTGTGGACCACACATTTTATAATAATTTCCTATTCATTTGCTGTCAATGATAGGAAGGGTTTTTGAAACTTAACTCTTTGATCAAAAGTAAATGGAAAGCAGTTGCATCTTTTTATGGTGCATGACTGCTTGATTCGTGAAAGTAAAACTCATTATAATATTGATATCGTCAAGTCTGTTCAAAATTTCTGAAGTGGACTTGTTTCTTCCCTTTGAAACATGCAAGTTTCCTTGTAGAGACAGAGGCTATATATATTAGAGCTGCAATCTGAACAGAAAATGCATTACTGCAGTTCAAAATTCTAAGACAAATAATTCTAATACAAGAAATAATGATATTAAAAGTGTTGAATTTGGACCTTCTGTTATCAATGGTCATGCTAATGACATTACCCTTTCCATTATTCTTCAGGTTAACAAAATGCCCCAACAGGGTTTGAAAACCAATGGTTCTCCAAATAGCTCCTTCCAGTTCACTCAAGTCTACCAGAATATTGACAAACATCAATTGATTTTGCAAGCTTTTCTATTAATTTTGAAGTCTTTAATTTGGATTCCACTTCAACTATTTAAAAAGTATTTTGGTGCGACTGGATTAATGTTCAATCACTGTCACTTTTAATTGCTTCATTTTGATGTTATCTTTTTACCAATAAAGCCATTGTAAATCCATTTCAACTTATCAAATATCTTTTAAGTTAGTTTGTAACATTTTTCCCCTCCCCCATTTTTCATAAATCACTTTTCAAGTCTTTGAAAGCTTTCCATGGATATTATTTTAATCTGTATCCTCCTACACTAACTTGTAAGTACTTCAAGGCCCTGTGCACTGTTCAGATTCAAAATTAATGCATTCACGAAGCGGATAATCCCTTGGCACACTCACAAAGCCTGCAGTGTAACCACCTTTCAATACAGTAGGCTAAGACTTCCATCACTTGCCAGAACAGATGAAACTCCAAGAAGAATAATGGAAATTGGCAAGTTAACCAACAGCTGACAAAATATAGATTTACATATATGGCACATATCGTAGGCATGGAAATGGCAATTAGAGGAATATTAAAAAAAAGAAACTTTATGTAATGTTGTTCAACAAAAAAAATACAAATGTGGCAGATCATGTAATCGGATAGTACACCATGCAAGGCTTTTAAATAACAAAAGTTTAGAAAGAAAAAGCAATTTCATATTTAAATACTATCTTATTATAGCCAGTGGACCTCTCAAAGACAGATAAAAAGCAGGAAATCAGTACCAACAAGAGGTCTGGCTGTATTGGAAAATACAAGAAGTTTTTCTAACTTCCTTGTTCACAATCAATATTCAGCAATGCCTCAGGAAAAATGCCAACTGTAGATGTCAGGCTTTGAATGAGCTATGATGCAATCACACAACCTGCAGAAACCCAGGGTCTAAAGGTAACAAGAATGTACACTTAAGATGGGAGTTACCAAGACGGGTGGTGGAACTGTACCTCAACACCTCAAAGAAGAGAAAAAGTAAACTACAAATTGCATTTATGTATTGAATGAGAGAGAATTGCAACAAACGATAAACTGTGAATAGATGTAGGTCATACTCACGGTAAGCTCGCTTTCAGTGTCAGTCTCTAGGTTTATGTCGTTGTTTTCCTCAGCCTGTATTTCTCTTGTTAATTGTTCTTCCTCAGCTATAGCATTAGCAATTGCTTCTTCATTCTCCTTTTCCAGACGGTTTGCCAGTTCCTCTCCTTTGGCAAGGACTGCTGCCATAGATTGCTGAGAGGGAACAAAAGTAAACATGTTAACTGAGTTAAATGAAAAAGAAAATCCAAGTGTACCAACACAGATATGGAAAAAGCTAGTTCTGAACACGAATCTTTCGCACTTGTAGACTACTGTTAACATTCATACATAGCAAGAAAACCTATGACAATGAAAAGTGTAATGCCTGTTCTATAAATAAATCCAATAAACAATATATCAGCCAGTTACATTGCAGAAATTTAACCATTTATTAAGCATAATGCATAATAAGAGCAAGTAATTTTCAGTTTTATTCTTCTAAAACTCAAAATAGCCCAATTGTACACGAGTTGCATAATACAGCACATATTTGCTCAAATGTCTAAAGTTATGCACTGCCACAGTGGTACAGCTAACACTGAACAAATGATGTGACATCAATCTATGACCCACACGGATTATCAGGTATATGATAGGATAAGCTGTAACACATTGCAGCACTGCTCAGTTCCTCCAAGAAGAAAAGGAATCTCTCAGACAGGATGTAGAAAGAACAAGTAGGTTCCAACATAAATATGGAGAGATTAAGTGGAGCGTGTTTAAACTTATGAAGAAGGGTGACAAATGTACAAAACTACCAGAAAAATAGCCTGTGTGTTCCTGAAATCAACAAAGTCGAATCCAAATTTCAAGTGAAAGGAGTGCTGCCAAGTGCATTCTAAGTGAATAATCACATTCTGTTCCCTCCTGTTTAAAAATTGAGCATGAAGTAATTTCATGGTCTCAATAAATCAATAAAAATGTCCTTCCTGCAGTTTCCTTACATTCAAGGGGCCACTTTTTCCTATTAGACAAGCGCATTTGAAATATTCCAGCCAAAAAAGGATTTGGCAACTTGTCATGACACATTGCAACATTCAACTCAAAAACAAGGTAAAATATTTAATTCACCCCAATCTATCTGGAATTAAAAGGTTATACTTCGTGCTTAATTTACAGGACTATATTCTTTGTAATTCTCTTCCCTCTGTTTCTGTAAAGTTACTGAAAATGATCAATCATGAGTTGCCAAATTCAGTTTTGGATCATGGGGCTGGAATATTTCCATAGTACCTGCAGCTCAACACCACCCTATTAAGGAGCGTTACTGTGTGTAAACTAAAACACAGGATATTCTGGTGGAGAAAGCCTCATAGCCCAGCTTCTTTATTTCTTCACAATTCCTATGCACAAAAATATTTTTGGATCATTAGGTACGGATCAGTAGTGGGACCTGTGGCTATTTGTTGACCATATGAAGGCAAATGGGTCACCCTGAACTACTTCCTTTACTAGGTCAGCACAAAACAGGAATATCAAGTGTAGGACAATGAGTCAATGGCTTAGTACTACAACTTGAGATAGCTTTATCTATAATATTAACTGGGAATTAGTTTAAGATTATTATTGAAACCAACAGAGCTGGAATGCACTCTGCAGCACTCTTTTCACTAACCTTAGTCCAAGCCTTTGAATTCTTATTTAGCAACTGTAAGCTGATCAACATCACAAAGTGCAGAATGCACAATTATTTATTTAACACTATTCACTTCACAAATAAGTCTCCCATTTTGAGGCAACCTAACAACTTGGTCTCAACTCAGTGAAGAATTTTGCAGGAGTATTATAAAGCAGAATTTGACACGGAACCTCACAACGGAAGATTAGGGAAGGTGGAAAAATAGGCGCTTTTAAAAAGAATTTTTGTACTACTGACAATTTTTTCAAAAAGATTTTAGTAAAGTATAATGATAAAATTTTAATGAAAATGTCAATAGTCTGATTAAGCGATAAAATCAATATAACAGGACTATTAAAGATTGAGGTGAAGTTGAAGTTAGAAGCCTGTCACTGGCAGTGAAATAAATTGGATATGCTGAACTAAACATCATATATAAAGCAAGTGACAGAATACTAAAGCACATTGGAATAGGTGTGGTATTTCTTTTAGTATTCTAATATAGTGTAATCTTTACTCAGTGGATTGGTGCACTCTCACCATTTCAGTCTAAAATAAAGGCCTGCCATCAGGGTATGAGCATATAACTTCAATGTAGCTCCTGAGAGAAATCCAAATTATCCAGAAATGTCATTTTACAGATAAGCAGTTCAATAACTACAATGACAAACTCAGCAATATCTATCTTGCAAAGTTCTCCTTACTAACACCTGGGGGCTAATGTGATGTCTTACAGACTAGTAAGGTATAATTCCATCAGTGTGACAATGTACCACACAAGACCATCACCATCCCTGGTTATGTCCTGTTCCACTGCCAGGACAAAACCAGCAGAATGGTGGAACAATAGTACACAGTTGGGAGTGATTAACATTAAATCTGGACCCCATGAAGTCTCATGGCACCAGGTTAAAGAAAGGCAAGGAAACTACCTGCAGATTACTCTCCCACTGCCCAGATGCTATACCATACCTGCGTCAAGTTGAAGAGAAGGAACCAACTAAGAGGGAACAACACTTAACCTCATCCTTTTCAATCTGCTTGCTGCAGTTGCATGACAGTATTGGTAAGAGCAACCGCAGCATAGTCCTTGTGCAGACAAAATCTGATCTTCATATCCATCATGTTGTGTACACTATCACCATGCTAAATAGGATAGATCTCAAACCAATCTAACTACTCAAGACTGGGCATCCATGAGGAACTGTGGGCTATCAGTAGCAGTAGAATTATACTGAAACACATGGCCTGACATATTACCCACTCCATCTTTATACCATCAAGCGAGGGTATAAGAAGCCCTACCATCTCGGACTTAAAAATATTCAAATGCTGACCTAGCTAGTAATGTCGACATCCCACAAGTGAATAAATAATTTAAAATGACCCAACCTTCTGAGGTAGAGTTCCAAAGTCACACAACCCTCAGAGAGAAAAAAAATTCTCATCTCTGTCCTGAAAGGGCGACCCCTCATTTTTCTACATGGTCCCCTAGTTCTGGACTGATCCACAAAATTTAATATACTTTCCACGTCCGTCTTGTCAAGGCTATTCAAGATGTTATACACTTCAATCAAGCCACCCCTCACTAAGAATGCCTAAAAATGAGGTGTCAACCTGGTGAAGCTACAACACAGGACTATTTGCATGGTCATAAACAGAGTGATAGACAGGGCTAAGCAGTTCCACAATTAATGGATCAGATCCAAGATCTGCAGTCCTGCCAGATACTGTCATGAATGATAGTGGACAGTTAAACAACTGACTGGAGAAGGCGGTTCACCACAAAATATCCCCATCTCAATGATGGGGAAGCTAAACATACCAATGTAAAAGGAAGAGGCTTAAGTATTTGCAACAATCTTCAGCCTGATGGTTCGAGTGGATAATTCATTTCAGCTTCCTACCAGGAGTCCCCCGTATCACGAATACCAGCTATAAGCCAATTCAATTCATTCCATGTGGTATAAAGAAATGGCTGAAGGCACTGGATACAGCAAAGATATGGGCCCTGACAACATTTTGTCAATAGCACGGAAGATGTATTTTCCAGAACTTGCTACACCCTAACCAAGCTGCCCTACAACAGTTAAAACACTGATATCTAAATGACAATGTGGGAAATTGTTCAGTTATGTCATGCACACAGAAAAAGGGCAAATCCAACCTGGTCAATACCACTTCCACACCCCCTAAAAGGTCATCAAAAGTACTTTCAAAAAACCGGATGGGCAGGACATGGTAACTTTTAATTTGTGCATAACCTTTCTCTCATTGTTTAATCGTAGCTGGGGTTTTAATCACCATGTTTTTAAAATTACAACACCGATAGTATTTGTCACTATGTAATTTAATATTGTACACAACTACGCTCAATTCATCAGTAAAATTGAATTATTACAACCTTAAGATATTGCCAGTTCTGCTCAGCTTAAAAGTGATCATTCTATTTGTGTTATCTTGCACTCTGAACTCTGGCTGTCAACAGCAACCTTCTGCTGTTTGCCCTGACTGCTAACATTGTTTACACAGACCTAGATCCTTTAATCAACTGGCTTTTTGACCAAACAGCCAAGAGGTGACAGACATGTTCCTTTCCCACCCAAGACGTAGGGAAGTAGAGGTAGCATCTCTCTTGTTAAAAGAAAGATGGGCTGCCATATAACAATCAAAATTAACTCAAAAGGCCCTGGAAAATTTCACACCATACCCAATACATTGTGCTTGCAAATTCTTATGCCTCCACAAAATAGTAAACATTTCAAAAACAAAAAACAAACTCTTCTCCTCTGGAGATGTAGAAAGCTGACAGACTGCCCTTCTTCTTAAATCTACAGGTTTCCAAACTTTAACTTGGCTTGATCACTTGTTCCCAATTGACACTAACCTATCTCCTTCAATCTTGCTGGTGTCCCCATTATCTTCACACAAATTTCTCGCTTAAACACAGTTGAATTGTTACTTCAAAAGATCTAATCTCCTATCAAAGGTCATTTCAGTCTTGAGCACTGGGTCAAAGGTGCTAAGATGCAGTTAATCTCTTTCTCCTAAGGCACAAGTCAAATTCCGTTTAAACGTGACTAGGAAGAAGCCAAGTAAGAGGGCAGAGCAAGAAAGGGAGGTAAACTTGGAGCAATAAACCCATTTCATTTTTGTTATCTGGAAAATAAAAGTGATCAGGTATATATTTTGTCAGAATTTTCTATCAGAACACAAGCCAACCTTCTGCCAAAGATGATGTTTTGATACATCAATGGATCTTTTCATGCATGGCCCTCCATTTTACTTTAGTTCTTTTAGCAATGTGACATATTGAAATGTTGCCACGATAGACTAAGTCAGATACATTACATAGGGTAAATGGTCTCGACGGGTTCCAATAGAATTTTTTCCCCTGCAGTAAATACAGGATGAACTCATCATGAATGGTTTACAGAAATCTTACCAATGAAAACTACAAGGTGAAAGGGTCACAAGGAAGAACTTATGCCAGTATGAACTCTAATGCAATCTCTGATTATATTGGTATTTTTTAGAAAGTGCATGTTGGCGACCAATAGTGACAAATATCAACCAAGACATCAGGGATAACCCCTGATCATCTTTCAAATAACTGCACAGGAACGCTTCCTTATAGCCAAGGGAATACAGGACAGTCTAAGTTTAACATTTCATCCAAAAATACAGCACCTCCAACAGTGCAGTACTCCCTCAGGACTGCAAGTGGGGTTTCTACAGAAAGTGCGCTGTATTATCAGGACAGCTGTTGGTCTATCACGTGTCTTGATTAGAAAATTTAAAGGCAAAGTTTCTTATCTCAGCACATCCAAATGGATTTTTCAGCATTAATTACAGTAGGAACGTCTGCAAGGCTTGTTGATCTGTGCTTCAGTGACAGTTGGAAATTAATGTTTATATTTTAAAACAGGCCTTCATATTTTAGTGCAGGTATTAATAATTCCACTTTAAAGAGATATGAGACAGAATTCTTGGTACTTAACTTTCATTAACCCATTAACTGACATCCTCTTAAGCACCTATAATTGTACAAAGGTCCAGGGAGCATCAACAATTACTGACCTTAAAAGATACAAATCAAGGACAAACATGACAACAATATTCAAAGCATAATTCTACATTCAGTGCAGCTTGTACTTGACTTGGTTCTCCAAAACGTGGCTCAATTCAATGTATGCTAGTTCAGCAATAAACTGCATGAATCCTACCAAGGTAATAAGTCACATTTGTCCACTGAACAGAAGTCTGAAAAATAAGTGTTCTATTAACAGCCAAGACATTTCCATTTTGCCAAGTACCAAGTAAACAATTTTTAAAATGTTTCCATCTTCCACAGAATTCTTCCTTGACTTCTCAGCAACTAATTCTTTGTCTTCCCTCCCTGCATTTGTGCAAACAGTTCAAAACGAAAATGTATTTCTTGCTCCAACAATGGGGTTTATGCCTGTCTCCATTGCAACCTGCAATGCCTTTACAAGTTTTGTTTCAGTTTTTCTTTCTCTTATATTCTCACAAGGGCATAATGCTCTCAAACCTTTGCCACCCTTAAGAAGCAGCTAGGCAACTCAAGTGATGGCACCTTGTCATGGGCTTTTATTCTTGAGAAAGTTGGATAAACAAAGTCCAGAAGTGTGTTGATAAATAACTCAAGAGTTAAGGATTAGCTTCGACACCATCAGCAATTTGTCCTTCTGCTGTTTTTCTGTGATCTTGTTAGTTCATGAACCAATCAGATCACGTAAAAACATCAGTCTGATCCACATGTTTCATGTGGGTTATATTCTTAAATTCTCATTTGATCAAAAAACATTTAAAAAGACATTTGCAGTAAAATAGTGGGGCATCACCAGGTGAGACCCCCAAATACTTTAATGCAGCTTTAAAATACCACCACCCCTCAAAAATTAGAGGTGATTTCTGAGCACTGCAGATTCTGACCTTGGGTAGTCTTTTTAAAACAGAAGGGGAGAATGAAACTTTTACAATTCAAGGTACATCTAATGATTCTTGAGTTAATTAACCAGAAAATGGCACAAAAACAAATAAAAACAAAACAAAAGTCTTAGTACTGATTGGTTACTGGATTCAAAGAGTAATTTAAAATCTATAAATGGGCCTACAGTGTTTTCTTTAAGCTTAATCACAAAGTAATTACTGAATACTTGCATAACACATTTTCAACCTGTGCACGTATATATTTTATAATTATTTTTAATCAACCTGTTCCGATATGTTATAATACTCCGGCCTAGATGTATGGACACTACCACTGCACTGTAAGACTCCCTTGAAAACAATGTATAAAGACATAATTGGTCAATTATGTAATTCAAATGCGCAAGATAGTTAACCTCTCTTTGCTTTCGGCTTTTGCTTTTGCTTTGCCATCTATTTGCTAATAGATGGATATTTCAACTTTTACTTCAACTCACCAGTGTCATCGTTTTATTTTACCACTTCAACTTTTGTTAACTGAATACTTTCCTGAAAGTGTTTGCGTTTGGCGGTATAATTTTTTCCATTCTTTGTTGTAAATTACAACCTGCTCCCATTCTTTCCATTGGTTTGTATTGAATTCTTGATTTTTTTTTTCCCTTCTCTGTACCAATGAAGGAATTTTAGTTAAATACAATTTTAATTTAATGTCTTATACTTGACCTTAGTTTTGGGAAGTTGATCTATATGTACACAATTCCCTCCAACTTAGATTGTTTATCTGGTACCATCTCCAAAGACCTTTGAAGATCACTGTGAAATGTGTATGGTTTGCATGTTAGGCTTATACACAAATGGCATGATGCACAGTTTCAGAGTGCTCCAAGCTAGAGAATCATGAAGTTGATTAGCATGTCATAATGAGCTTTGGGAAGGTATTTCAACAAAGTAGTCCATAAAATGAGAAAAAGCTTCCTGTTGATTTCAGTACTCTGTTTCTGCTTAAGTGTTTGACTTAAGCATCCATCCAACATCTACATGATACCACTGATTACATCAACTTCAAGCATACAGGCTAGATACCGACGTGCACAGCTGACCCAGTTCTCCCTCCATATTTCTCTCTGCTGAGGGGCAGCTTGGCTTAGTACCTTTGTCTCTTAAATCAGGAGTTGATAGATCCAATATCTGAATAGAAGCTGGCACCATATACATCATCCAGGCTCTTTTTATTACATGTAGTTTACATATTTGAATGCTCACTGTCTTTAAAACTTATTCATGGCTACATCAACAAGAATCTTATTAAGAGAAGGCAAAACAAATTTCAAGACAACAAGGTGCAGGGCTGGATGAACAC